ATCTACGCCAACAACAATTCGCCGCAATTCATGGACTTTAAGCGCTCGCATCCGATCATCTCTCTGTGTCTGATCTTCGGCGGCGGTTCAGTGATTGTCTACCTGTTCTCCTCAGTGTTGGTCTTCTTGATCGGCATTCTTCTGCCCCTATTCTTAGTGCTACTTCACGCCAGCCTTCGCACCAGGAATCTCAAGAACAAGATCACCAACACTATGGAAACGGTGGGCATCACGAAGACACCGATGGGCCTACTCTTGGACTCGTTCGGCTCCGACCCCGAGACACACTTTTACTAACAACTAATCCTCTCGTCGAGAAGTCGAGTTGTTTTTTGCCATTTAAGTCGCTTCACTCGCTCTCTCATTGACTCTCTTGTGTCGAGAAATTTGTGGCAAATATTTGCTTTAATTAACGTCTGATCTTATATTTCATTTTAGTCTTAATAATAGACTTTTCGATAATTAGTTTTTCAAATTTATCATTCGCTCTCTTTTTCGCATCTATTTATACATCAATTCATTTGTTACTTATGTTTAATGAATAGATTATTTCATACATTGACGGCTTATTTACTAGTCATTGAGCACTTGTTTTACAGCAAAAATTAAATTTCAAAAATCACTGTTTTTAATGATTAATAAGATCTCATTCCTCTATTAATACATTGAATTTAATATTAGTTTTTGTTGATTTTGTCATTAAAAATGTTAGCATTTCTTATTAATATGGTTTGAATCCATCCTTTTTTGTATACAACTGTTTTGTTATAAAATTGTTAGAAAACAGAAATATTTGTTTTTATAAAGCGTTTAAAAATATTATTTTTACTTCTAATTGTGAAAATGAGAGCAATTATTATGATTATTAAAAGTTTGAATTCATTATGAATACATTTAACGGCCTTTTATTGGATTTACAATTAAGCAATTCTTTTGATCAAAAAACAATTTAACACTTATTGTAATTTCAATTCATAATACACTGACTTTTCTCTTTCTCTCAAAACATAATTAACAGAATTTTAAAGACTGAATAAAACATACATTTTTATCAATTTTGTTATTTATTAAAAACAAATTATTGAATCATATTATGTATCAAATAATATGTGGTTTATATTCAATCTTATCGTCAAAATTCTAGTTTTAATCGGTTTTGTCTTGGATTTCAACGCGTATTTTGTACTACAAAAATGATAGATTAGTTTCC